TATTGATATCTCCCATCTTGATACTCCCGAGAACATACTTTATGCTGTTATGATAATCCATGAAAGTGGAAAATCCAAAATACCGTGGTGGGTGCTGAACTCGTCATCCAGGGGGGCTCCGGACTCTTCCCCTCCCCCTCCCTTCCCTCCCCCTCCCCCTCCCCTTCCCCTTCCCCTCCCCCTCCCTTCCCCTCCCCCTCCCTTCCCCTTCCCCTCCCCCTCCCTTCCCCCTCCCCCTTTTCTTTTTGAAAACCAAATGGATGTTGTAGACAATTCTCACCCCAACCCCACAACCTATACACACCCTGATGGAGGATCTTGTTTTTTCGACAATCCCTTCAGCCCTTGGTCGCCCGTCTTCACGTTGATCAGATCTGGATGTGTTTTTGAGACTGTGTAATGAATATACATATGCATATGTGCAAAACAAGCGTATGTTTACAATATAAGTGTAGTTATAAAACAGCCTCATGTAGATACACGTAAATCTCACATGTGAAATATGTAGGAAAATATTTGCTCAAAATCTAAAACGCAACATTCGGTGTCGTCAAAACACGCCGCTGGCTTGTAACATGGCGCGAGGGTTGTCTCGTGCAAATTGAGAAAAGCTACCAAGGCGAGTTCATTCCTAACTGGGCAGATAAATGCAACACACCCGCGGTTACGATGCATCTGATTCGCGTTCACATGTTATTATATAATATGACCTTACTTATGTGATACATTTTGATCGTCTTGAATTATCTCGCCATTTTATTGCATACACTTCCGTATATATAAAAGTGTCCTATGCTAGAAATAACAAAGAAGCAAAATATATAATAGTTAAAAAAGAAAAGAACATATGCATACTGACAAGAAGAAAAGGGAGATAACTCTTGTTGTTCACACACTAAGGGTTAAAGTGAAATAAATATAAGCCAGCTCACAGCAATACCTTCTACATAACTTGTAGGCTCGTTCGTGTTAACTTGATGATGAATTAGAATGTATCTAGAAGGTACGGAAGCCCATTAGGGCCACAGAATTATTATTTTTAATCTTGAAAATTCAAATTATATTTTTTAACATTCAAGTTCCTATCTTGACAACTCAAGTTCTCACCTGGCAACAGTGTCCACTCACAACAGAAATGGAATCCTTGTGAAGTTCATTTGCAGCAATTCAGTTTATCTTGAATTTTTAACAAAGTATCTTGAATTTTCCAAATAATTTTAAAATTAATAACTAAAATTTTCAAGATATGAATTTGCATTTTCACTATAGCAACTTGACCTTTCAACTTAGTATCTTAGTTTTTTAAGATAGCATATCTATTATTCAACTTAGTTTCTTCAATTTTCATCAAACTTAAGCATCTTGAACTTTCAAGATACTAAATAATGGCATGGCCCTGATGGACTTCCGTAGGAAGATAAGTTGGTTATGTGTCATAGGTTTACCACCCAACCGAGGTCAAGTTAAGGACCTGTTTAAGAATCGGTGCTCTGTGGACTTTATACTTCTGGTCATTCACAGGAATTGAAAACAAGTTACTACGTTAGTCGTACTACAACATTGTCCAACATTATCATCCGATTTATTATTTTGACAATACAACCTAAACCCTACAATGCATCAATCAATCGGCAAAAGTATTTTACAAAAGTCTCATGAAAGTTTCAATAAGGATGTCAGTGCTCGCCCAACTCTTGAAGAAAGCGAAGAAATACCTTCAGAGTGGGTCGCACATTTAAAGGGAGACAACTTGTATCATCTTGGCGATTTATGCAGAATGCACCCAGTTCCAGATTATTGACTGCACAGACTCGTTAACATGACACCGCTTTAAACAGTATTTCATTTGTATGACGACATGTCAGCTTAATGTGGGAGGAAAGCCCAAAGTGATGTGTTTACTGACATAACCATAATCTTTTTATGCGACCTGTTAAACACGCAAAACTAGATATTAAACTAGTTGTCATGACTTATTTATCAAATTGATTGCGTCATCTGCCTCCATTTTTGCAATTATTTAAAAACAAGTAAATTAATAACTACTTCAAGCCCATCACGTTTTAAAAAATTCAGCTAAAAATATATATGGTGCAAGAATTCAAATATGAAATAATCTCCCCTGAAATAAGCACGGCGTTTCTGTCACGGAGTGTAGAGTATTATTGATATATGTTCACGACGGCATCATAAAATGTTATATACCGCACAGCTTTAATCATACGTAATCAATACTCAACTCTGATGTGAGCTGTTCTACTGCAATGTGATATCTATCAGTATGTCAGTCCCCGGCACAAACACTGGAGTATCTACAGCAGCAGCTGGGTCGCACTCACCATACCATCTGTGACACCCTAATTAAACACCGGATCTACATTTTATCAATTTACAAAGAGACGTGAAGATCATTAAAGCTGACAGCCGAAAGAGATCCCAGAGATGTCAGAGTACATGTGCCGTCCTGTTGTTACAATGGGTATTGGGAGACCAGTCGCCTCAATTCGATATGCAGTGTTGCGTCCCTTAATTGTGGGTTCGAATCCAAGATTTTCCCTCATTATGATTCTTGGTTTGTCCGAACCCTACCCGTACTCGGGAGTTCACCAAAGTTTCAGGGCGAAGTATTTTTAAAAAGCGGTGTGTGTGTGTGTGTGTGTGTGTGTGTGTGTGTGTGGAGGGGGGGGGGGGGGGGGGGGGTCTCTGAGATATATTTACTGCCTACAACACACTACTTTTGGTTTTCAAAAGGATAGGGAAGGGTGGGTTGGGGGACGCCCTGGGCCCTTCCCCTGGATCCGCATATGGAGTTTACAACTTTAAAAACCCTCTTCCCTTTCCTCGCACAATATGCGACACACCTTCAAACACGAGAATAACTAACCCAGCTTTAAACCCAACTCACTCACTCACTACTGCCGTATCCCCAGGAGGCTGTGGGAGGGGATAGGCTCTTAGCATCCCCCCTTCCCCGCTAGCAGCTTTCTTTATTCACGAAGATGAGGAGGCTAAAATGTGTCGCCAGGTTGATTGTTTGTCATCGTTTTAGGGTTTCGTATTAAAATTGAACGTTTGTGATGTTCCCCTTACAACTTCTGACACATCGAGGAAAGACTTTTGAAACAAAACTGAAACGCCAGATGCAAACGTCTTTCTTAAGTAACCCGCCTGCCTCGGATGAACCACCAGTCTAAGGAACTTCTGAAATAAATTAAAGGATTTACGGTATATGCCAATTTAAATCTTTTATTTATGTAAACCTTTGCATCCGGATTGAAAAATGACATTACTTATTAGAATATAAAAAAAACTAGGTAAGTGTTTATTTGCAGCGAATTCTTATTTTTGAAAGTTGAAACGCAATGGTGATATTACGGCAATATAATCTTTTAAGCACGAACCTAGCTCTGTTTATGAAATAAATTAGGGTAATTATCGGAATTGCGTTTTTAATGCTGGTTAGTATATTAGGTGACATGCTTCACCAAAATAATAACACAACTTGTTATCACTTAAATCGCACCCATTTTTCCAAGACGTTGTATCCGCGCTCCCTTGGAGTAGCACCATTGTGGACCATATGGGGTGGTGTCTGGTTCCGACACAGGTGGCCTGCAGTGCCATCTTCTTGCTGACACTCGCAATTGGTAGTTCTACAACCCGCCAAGACACCGGGTCCAACCTTTGATGCTAATACTGTTGATATACACCCCTTTACAGTACAGACGGTCGTCTCCCGTGGCGAGCTTCCCAACATAACACCACCGCGATAGTAGAAACATTGGAATCAGGAAGTTACAGTGAATTACAATGGGTCCGGACCCCCTGGGATCGGTACCGTCCGGATTATGAGGGTTTCATTGTAACATGTTTCATATATCCCGACTGGGAACTATAACGTCCGCATTATAAGGGTTTCATTGTAACATGTTTCATTTATCCCGACTGGGATCGGTACCGTCCGGATTATAAAGATTTCATTTATCCCGACTGGGATCGGTACCGTCGGGATTATAAAGGTTTCATTTATCCCGACTGGGATCGGTACCGTCGGGATTATAAAGGTTTCATTTATCCCGACTGGGATCGGTACTGTCCGGATTATAAAGATTTCATTTATCCCGACTGGGATCGGTACCGTCCGGATTATAAAGATTTCATTTATCCCGACTGGGATCGGTACCGTCGGGATTATAAAGGTTTCATTTATCCCGACTGGGATCGGTACTGTCCGGATTATAAAGATTTCATTTATCCCGACTGGGATCGGTACCGTCGGGATTATAAAGGTTTCATTTATCCCGACTGGGATCGGTACCGTCGGGATTATAAAGGTTTCATTTATCCCGACTGGGATCGGTACTGTCCGGATTATAAAGATTTCATTTATCCCGACTGGGATCGGTACCGTCCGGATTATAAAGATTTCATTTATCCCGACTGGGATCGGTACCGTCGGGATTATAAAGATTTCATTTATCCCGACTGGGATCGGTACCGTCCGGATTATAAAGATTTCATTTATCCCGACTGGGATCGGTGCCGTCCCTCGGCGTGATGAGCGAAAGCTTTAACCACAAAGCTCCCCCAACCCCCCCCCCCCCCCCCCCCCCCAGAATAGTTCCATTACGGCACCCTCAACAGCACCCTTCCTCGAAGCATTTATTAAAAATCTCTCATGCTGAAACATTTGCACACACGTGGTCGAAAATATCGACACTGATAAAAACCTGTTTAACTACACTATGATAATATATGGGAGATGTATGGTGCAGCTGTCGCCATGTCAAACAGTCGTTTATTCTCTACAATTAAACAACTGTTTTTATTCTGTTCGATATTTTCATTTCGGAGACTAGATGTTAGTCTACGTTGAAATCAGCCCAGTTTTGTTTCAGACAGGTCTGTCGATCTTGATTATGAAGTTGAAGTCTACATCATTTAAAAATATTAACGGCGCAAATGTTGAGATTATAACCATCATATTGTGATTAGCCATTATGGAAGGCGAGATGTTTCCCCAGGTAACGACTTAGACGGAATTCAATTGTTTAAATACTATGTCCATAGCAATATGTAATATATCTTGAGGATTAAAATTCTTGAAATGATGCTAGGAATGAGACGCTATCATCTTCTTACCATTTTCCCTGCGATATTGGATCGGTAAGAGCTTTTACAATGACAGTAAATGTCAGGAATCGTTATGTCTGTACGTATTGCCAAGTTGTGCACGGTGGCAGAGCTTCTTCGTCGTTAGAGAAACATACTGATCACCCCTACTGCAAAGTGGACTGTTCCACAGACTGATGCTTGGCTGACGGGAGTTCAAGTTTAGATAAGAAAGTGTACTTTCTTTGCTTATGTAGTCTGGATACTTATCATCAAGGTGTCGGGCCAGTTATTACGACTTCACGATGGTGTCTAACAGGTAAGAATGTTTCATATAGTATAAGATGTTGAAGGTTGAAGAATCGTAGGTCATAGCGCACTTTTGCACTTGAACTCCAACACGGCTAGCTAAGTAACATCTGTTGAAACCCGATAGCCTTCAGAGCTCCCTCCCTTCATCCTACACTGTGGCGTCTTGGCAGTTCCAACAATGAAAGGGACGAGTCAGCCGGTAGTCACCACCAGTGAAATGGCCCCTCCCTTTCCCTTCCTAACACGCGCTTGACAGATAACACTAGCCCTGTCAACGGCAACGAGTTTCAGCCTATATTCTTGCTGTTGACTCTAACTGCCAAATTTGTTCATTTGAATTTAACTTCAAATATAAATGCTTATATTTGCTTATATGCTTATATATACATGATTACTTATTTGGGGGCGTTTTTAGTCTCGCTAATAAAAACTATGTTTAAGGTATAAACTTAAAATATACGATCAACGAAAACAAATGCAAGTAGTTGATTTTACTCAACGATTAGATGTACGTTGTCATAGAAAGGTAAAGGTATTTGGGGTGAGTGAATGAATAATCGAGTTTTTTTAGTGGCTTTTGTCAGTATCACGCTAGTCTGTCTTACAGACCCTGATACAAATATATATCAAATACAGCCCATGCAAGTCTATAATGTTTGGCAAGTCTAGATCACTGCAGTATCTGAAAATGAAGAGAGTCACTGGGCTCCTTTTTATTATATTTTTATTAAGATAACTGAACAACTTTTTTTTTATGTACGATATGTTCATTTCAGAGACTAGATGTTAGTCTAGTATCACGCCAATATAGTCATATGCATTTGCGTCTTGATATTAGTTCGCTATTCATGCTGTGCACATTAAGCGATAAAGTCCACTATTTCGGTGTCTCGTCTTGGCAGATACTAGTAGACGCGTAATAGTGATTCATATCAGAACAGTACCAGCCGTTCCGTTATCTACTTACATTAAACAACATTGTGTATACATCACGTGAAGTGACAATGTTCCAACACCAGTGTGTGTACATGAGGCGAAATAACAGTGTTCTTAATGTGTATACATCACGTGAAGTGACAATGTTCAACACCAGTGTGTGTACATGAGGCAAAGTGACAGTGTTCTTAATGTGTATACATCACGTGAAGTGACAATGTTCAACACCAGTGTGTGTACATCAGGCAAAGTGACAGTGTTCTTAATGTGTATACATCACGTGAAGTGACAATGTTCAACACCAGTGTGTGTACATCAGGCAAAGTGACAGTGTTCTTAATGTGTATACATCACGTGATGTGACAATGTTCAACACCAGTGTGTGTACATGAGGCGAAATAACAGTGTTCTTAATGTGTATACATCACGTGATGTGACAATGTTCAACACCAGTGTGTGTACATCAGGCGAAATAACAGTGTTCTTAATGTGTATACATCACGTGAAGTGACATTGTTCAACACCAGTGTGTGTACATCAGGCAAAGTGACAGTGTTCTTAATGTGTATACATCACGTGATGTGACAATGTTCCAACACCAGTGTGTGTACATCAGGCGAAATAACAGTGTTCTTAATGTGTATACATCACGTGTTGTGACATTGTTCAACACCAGTGTGTGTACATCAGACAAAGTGACAGTGTTCCTAATGTGTATACATCACGTGAAGTGACAATGTTTAACACCAGTGTGTGTACATCAGGCAAAGTGACAGTGTTCTTTATGTGTATACATCACGTGAAGTGACAATGTTCAACACCAGTGTGTGTACATCAGGCAAAGTGACAGTGTTCTTAATGTGTATACATCACGTGAAGTGACATTGTTCCAACACCAGTGTGTGTACATCAGGCAAAGTGACAGTGTTCTTAATGTGTTTACATCACGTGAAGTGACAATGTTCAACACCAGTGTGTGTACATCAGGCGAAATAACAGTGTTCTCAATGTGTCTGCATCACGTGTTGTGATATTGTTTAACACCAGTGTGTGTACATGAGGCGAAATAACAGTGTTCTTAATGTGTATACATCACGTGTTGTGACATTGTTTAACACCAGTGTGTGTACATGAGGCGAAATAACAGTGTTCTTAATGTGTATGCATCACGTGAAGTGACAATGTTTCAACACCAGTGTGTGTACATGAGGCGAAATGACAGTGTTCTTAATGTGTATACATCACGTGAAGTGGCAATGTTTCAACACCAGTGTGTTTACATCAGGCAAAGTGACAGTGTTCTTAATGTGTATACATCACGTGAAGTAACAATGTTCAACACCAGTGTGTGTACATCAGGCAAAGTGACAGTGTTCTTAATGTGTATACATCACGTGAAGTAACAATGTTCAACACCAGTGTGTGTACATCAGGCAAAGTGACAGTGTTCTTAATGTGTATACATCACGTGAAGTAACAATGTTCAACACCAGTGTGTTTACATCAGGCAAAGTGACAGTGTTCTTAATGTGTATACATCACGTGAAGTAACAATGTTCAACACCAGTGTGTGTACATCAGGCAAAGTGACAGTGTTCTTAATGTGTATACATCACGTGAAGTAACAATGTTCAACACAAGTGTGTTTACATCAGGCAAAGTGACAGTGTTCTTAATGTGTATACATCACGTGAAGTAACAATGTTCAACACCAGTGTGTGTACATCAGGCAAAGTGACAGTGTTCTTAATGTGTATACATCACGTGAAGTAACAATGTTCAACACCAGTGTGTTTACATCAGGCAAAGTGACAGTGTTCTTAATGTGTATACATCACGTGAAGTGACATTGTTCAACACCAGTGTGTGTACATCAGACAAAGTGACAGTGTTCTTAATGTGTATACATGACGTGAAGTGACAATGTTCAACACCAGTGTGTGTACATCAGGCAAAGTGACAGTGTTCTTAATGTGTATACATCACGTGAAGTAACAATGTTCAACACCAGTGTGTTTACATCAGGCAAAGTGACAGTGTTCTTAATGTGTATACATCACGTGAAGTGACATTGTTCAACACCAGTGTGTGTACATCAGACAAAGTGACAGTGTTCTTAATGTGTATACATCACGTGTTGTGACATTGTTTAACACCAGTGTGTGTACATCAGGCAAAGTGACAGTGTTCTTAATGTGTTTACATCACGTGAAGTGACAATGTTTAACACCAGTGTGTGTACATCAGGCAAAGTGACAGTGTTCTTAATGTGTATACATCACGTGAAGTGACATTGTTCAACACCAGTGTGTGTCCATCAGGCGAAATAACACTGTTCTTAATCTGTATACATCACGTGAAGTGACTTTGTTCAACACCAGTGTGTTTACATCAGGCAAAGTGACAGTGTTCTTAATGTGTATACATCACGTGAAGTGACATTGTTCAACACCAGTGTGTGTACATCAGGCAAAGTGACAGTGTTCTTAATGTGTATACATCACGTGAAGTGACATTGTTCAACACCAGTGTGTGTACATCAGGCAAAGTGACAGTGTTCTTAATGTGTATACATCACGTGAAGTAACAATGTTCAACACCAGTGTGTTTACATCAGGCAAAGTGACAGTGTTCTTAATGTGTATACATCACGTGAAGTGACATTGTTCAACACCAGTGTGTGTACATCAGGCGAAATGGCAATGTTCTTAATTGTATTTAGCGAGCCTTGGCCTGTATTCTTACTACAGGATATTTACCATCCCTAACACACAAGCGTGATAACCTCTTTATCATATAATGTCATTCTTCAATTCTGTGCTAGAAACCTCTCTCCCGATCTCTCACAAACATTACCTAAACATTGCAAGTTTCTTAGAGTGTGCGCATTAATACGTATATATTATGTCAGAAGGTAAGTGATGTGTCAGTCGGACAGTGACAATATAGTTCCAACTTTATCCTGTTTCTTATACAGCAGCGTAACTAAATATAGGCAAAACAACAACTGCCTCACAAATTGTTTCTACTGGCTCTTTATCAAAGGGAAGCTACTCTCGTCTATGCGACGTCACGTTTGTTTTTAATCTGCCTGTGCTGTCATAACACTTCGGGCAGATGTACACACAGCGACAAAACGAAACAAGGTAACAATTTGGACATATTTTGGCCAAATCCACTTTAATTTGGGGAAAAGGTTTCAAGCCGCAGAGGTTTACAAACACAGCTATGGAGACTGATCCTGCTTAATTATTTCGCAATTTATGTCTCCAAAGTTGCAAAAACTTATAAAATGCCAAAGCTTTGTCACAGTGAGACATTTTTTTTCAGTATATTAGACTGTTCTTTTGGTAATGATAGCAATTTTTCTTGAAGTTTCTCCAGATTCCAAATGGTTAATTCTGACACGATCGCCGAATGACCAGGGCGACGCCATGTTTGTTTGGAAACACTGAAAGTACTAGACCTTTCATATTTGCATCTCTGGCTTTACTCTGCCGAGAAACATACCCATTATATGATAAAGGGTATTATTCTCGATATAGATGTCCTCACTACTGATGCGCAGTGCGGTGTCTCCTAAGGCATTTAGTGGCGGTCGGGTAGCCTAGTGTTGGTTGGTTGGTTGGTTTGTTGTTTTACGCCTCACTGTCTGTCTGTAAATAATCGAGTGTGGACCAGACAATCATGTGATTAATGTCATGAGCATAGATCCACGCCATTGGGATCGATGACATGCATCAACCAAGTCAGCGAGCCTGACCACCCGATCCCGTTAGTCGCCTTTTACGACAAGCATAGTCACATTTTACGGCAAGCATGGGTTGCTGAAGACCTATTCTACCCCGGAATCTTCACTGGTCGGCTAGCCTAGTGGTTAAAGCGTTCGCTCGTCACGCCGAAGACCCGTTCGATTCCCGACATGGGTACAATGAATGAAGCCCATTTCTGGTGTCCCCCGCCGTGATATTGCTGGAATATTGCTAAAATCGGCGTAAAACTAAAACTAGTTCTTTCATTGTTTTAACTGAGAATCAATTTAACTATTAATTCCATGACAGCGTTCACAAGTTATGAGTATATTTTTAAGTGTTTCTTTTTTTTCAACTGACGGAAAACAACTGCTAATTATAGTTTTAATATGTTACAGATGCCGGATACGCCTTTTAAGACAAGTTCTCTTGTACGCCACAATAATTGTTGGGGGTATTGTGCTATGGATGACATCACGACGGTACCCAGTGTTGGAGAAATTCGACCACAGCACCAACACGATCCCTGTTGCAAATCTAACAAACTACATCACATCTGATAAACTCGGAAAATTAAAATATACCATAGTAAGAGATGCCCATCCAGTAACCCTAACGGATTATTTTAATCCAAGGGAAGAAGTTGTGAATCCTTTCCCAAACAAGTACGTGATAAAGCCAAAGAATATGTGTGACGACCCTCCATTTCTCGTCATAATGGTCTGCTCCGTTCACTCCCATACAAATGTCCGAGACGCCATCAGAGACACCTGGGGGAGCGTGGGACACGGAAGTGCATGGCCCGGATCTGACGTCAGACTTCAAGTAAAGATTTTGTTTCTGTTTGGAAAAGTCAAAATGCCTAGCATGGAGTATCTCATTCGCCGAGAGAGTAAAACATACAACGACGTGTTGCAAGGGGACTTTACAGACAGCTACAAGAACCTTACCTTGAAAACATTAATGGGATTACGTTTTGTGGCGAAAACATGTCCGGGTGCTGAGTATGTTCTCAAGGCGGATGAAGACACATTCACGCATGTGCAATTGCTGTATCAGTTTCTTCGAACAGTACAACCTGTCAATAGTGTAATTGGCCACATCTATACAACAAGCCCCGTCCGGAGACACGGCATTTGGGCCGTGTCATTTGAAATGTATCCGTATCATGATTATCCGTATTATGCATCGGGAAATACGTATGTTCTGTCGCGCGACGTTATTGGATGCATCAGCAATACCTCGGGTTATCTCCCTTACCTTCCGATAGAGGATGTGTTTGTGACAGGCGTCATGGGTGTGGTTTGTCGCGCCACCCTGGTTGATCTGGAAGGGTTCACCTACTGGATTCAGAGGGCGCCGGAGCCAGAGGACTTCACCATTGGAAACAAGCTGTCGGCTAACAAGGTGTCGCCGGGGCTGGCCAGGGAGATATGGAAGGAACTGATTGATTTTGATCCAAAACTAGTATACAGAAACTTATCATCCGTTTGATAGTGTTGTCATCATCATCATCATCATCATCATCATCATCATCATCATCATCATCATCATCAATTATTATTATTATTATTATCATTATTATTATTATTATTATTATTATTATTATTATTATTAACACAATAAAGTATGTTGAATCTGATTTGAAGACTTGTTGAACTGGACGTAAAATTATTTCCCAACATTCAAATAAAGCCATGTCTACATGGGATAAAATGGTTATTTGGATAAGATAATTACCTTGGTAAGATAGTTACTTGGTTACTTTTACATAGCTACTTGTATAAGATGGTTACTTGTATTACATAGTTAATTGTATAAGATGGTTTCTTGTATTACATAGTTAATTGTATTACATAGTTACTTGTATTGCATGGTTACTTGTGTAAGGTAACTGGATACTAGTTTGGATATGGTAGTGTATTTAATTGACTTGTATTTATAAAAAAAATGGTGAGGTGGTCACTGAGAGTCAGGGGGTTGTTGGGATGAGGTAGTGAAATGGAATAAGTTGTTGTCTGGATTACCATGAAGTGGATCAGATGGGGAGGATGCGGACGCACTGACAGGAGACCATTGGACTGTTTTAACCTGAACATCGTTGGGATGACGGACTGTCACACTACTGACACCCAGTGTTTCTGGTTCAGACCCTATAATAATTTTACATGGGTACCTCACTCAACCACTCAGCCACTCAGCCACTCACTCTACCACTCACTCACTTAATCACTTACTCACTCAGCCACTCACTCTACCACTCACTCACTTAATCACTTACTCACTCAGCCACTCACTCTACCACTCACTCACTTAATCACTTACTCACTCAGCCACTCACTCTACCACTCACTCACTTAATCACTTACTCACTCAGCCACTCACTCTACCACTCACTCACTTAATCACTTACTCACTCAGCCACTCACTCTACCACTCACTCACTTAATCACTTACTCACTCAGCCACTCACTCTACCACTCACTCACTTAATCACTTACTCACTCAGCCACTCACTCTACCACTCACTCACTTAATCACTTACTCACTCAGCCACTCACTCTACCACTCACTCACTTAATCACTTACTCACTCAGCCACTCACTCTACCACTCACTCACTTAATCACTTACTCACTCAGCCACTCACTCTACCACTCACTCACTTAATCACTTACTCACTCAGCCACTCACTCTACCACTCACTCACTTAATCACTTACTCACTCAGCCACTCACTCTACCACTCACTCACTTAATCACTTACTCACTCAGCCACTCACTCTACCACTCACTCACTTAATCACTTACTCACTCAGCCACTCACTCTACCACTCACTCACTTAATCACTTACTCACTCAGCCACTCACTCTACCACTCACTCACTTAATCACTTACTCACTCAGCCACTCACTCTACCACTCACTCACTTAATCACTTACTCACTCAGCCACTCACTCCTTCAACCACTTACTCATTCACTCACTAACGCAACCATGTACTAACTCAACCATTTACTCACTCACTCAACCAAAAACTCAACCAGTGACATACTCAACCACTGACTCACTCAACCGCTTACTCACTCACTCAACCACTTACTCACTCACTCAACCACTCACTCAACCAGTGACTCACTCAACCACTGACTCACTCAACCACTTACTCACTCACTCAACCACTCACTCAACCACTTACTCACTCACTCAACCACTCACTCAACCACTTACTCACTCACTCAACCACTTACTCACTCACTCAACAACTCATCAACCATTCACTCACTCAACCATTTACTTACTCAACCACTTACTAACTCACTCAACAACTCATCAACCATTCACTCACTCAACCACTTGCTAACTCACTCAACAACTCATCAACCATTCACTCACTCAACCACTTACTTACGCACTCAACCATTCAACAACTCACTCAACCACTTACCTACTCAACCACTTACTATTTCACTCACTCAACCATTCACTCACTCAACCACTCACTGACTCACCCACTCACTGACACACTCACTCACTGAATCACCCACTAACCCACTCACTGTACCTTATGCGGGCGCCCGTGTGCAGAGGCATAACAGCGTTCCCCGTATCATTCTGCAGTTTCCTCTGTGGCAGTGTTTGTGATGGTGGATCTAATTTCTCGGCGCCGTCGGCAGTAATTCGGTTCACTGTTAACGCCACAGACGACGGAAAGATTACAGTTAGAATTCCGGCGACATTTAAAAGGCTTCGTCAATAATTCAACATGTTATTCTTCACTTGAAAGGCCCTTGAGCCAGGTAGCTATATGTACTCCTTAATGGATCGGGAGTTCTCAGAGTCACGGAAGGTGCTTGATTGTTTTGTTTGCTTAAAATAGATACAGCGTATTTTCGAATTGCTTCCATTTTCACTTCGACCTTTTTATAACAAGTGGTTGATCAGTGACATCTCGTATTGACGTCATGTCGTTCTTTTGTCCATACCGCGGCGGTACAGGTGGTTCACGTGGTACCAGGTAGGTCAGCTGGTGTGTGTGTAAGTGACAGAAGTAGTTGAAGTAGTCGTACAAGTGGTTGAAGTACCAGGTAGGTCAGCTGGTGTGTGTGTAAGTGACAGAAGTAGTTGAAGTAGTCGTACAAGTGGTTGAAGTACCAGGTAGGTCAGCTGGTGTGTAAGTGACAGAAGTTGTTGAAGTAGTCGTACACGTGGTTGAAGTACCAGGTAGGTCAGCTGGTGTGTAAGTGACAGAAGTTGTTGAAGTAGTCGTACACGTGGTTGAAGTACCAGGTAGGTCAGCTGGTGTGTGTGTAAGTGACAGAAGTAGTTGAAGTAGTCGTACACGTGGTTGAAGTACCAGGTAGGTCAGCTGGTGTGTGTGTAAGTGACAGAAGTAGTTGAAGTAGTCGTACACGTTGTTGAAGTACCAGGTAGGTCAGCTGGTGTGTAAGTGACAGAAGTTGTTGAAGTAGTCGTACACGTGGTTGAAGTACCAGGTAGGTCAGCTGGTGTGTGTGTAAGTGACAGTAGTAATTGAAGTAATCGTACACGTGGTTGAAGTACCAGGTAGGTCAGCTGGTGTGTGTGTAAGTGACAGAAGTAGTTGAAGTAGTCGTACACGTTGTTGAAGTACCAGGTAGGTCAGCTGGTGTGTGTGTAAGTGACAGAAGTAGTTGAAGTAGTCGTACACGTGGTTGAAGTACCAGGTAGGTCAGCTGGTGTGTAAGTGACAGAAGTTGTTGAAGTAGTCGTACACGTGGTTGAAGTACCAGGTAGGTCAGCTGGTGTGTGTGTAAGTGACAGAAGTAGTTGAAGTAGTCGTACACGTTGTTGAAGTACCAGGTAGGTCAGCTGGTGTGTAAGTGACAGAAGTTGTTGAAGTAGTCGTACACGTTGTTGAAGTACCAGATAGGTCAGCTGTTGTGGGTGACAGTAGTTGTTGAAGTAGTCGTACACGCTGTTGAAGTACCAGGTAGGTCAGCTGGTGTGTAAGTGACAGAAGTAGTTGAAGTAGTCGTACACGTGGTTGAAGTACCAGGTAGGTCAGCTGTTGTGTGTGACAGTAGTAGTTGAAGTAGTCGTACACGTGGCTGAAGTACCAGGTAGGTCAGCTGGTGTGTGTGTAAGTGACAGAAGTAGTTGAAGTAGTCGTACACGTTGTTGAAGTACCAGGTAGGTCATTTGGTGTGTGTGTAAGTGACAAAAGTAGTTGAAGTAGTCGTACACGTGGTTGAAGTACCAGGTAGGTCAGCTGTTGTGTGTGACAGTAGTAGTTGAAGTAGTCGTACACGTGGCTGAAGTACCAGGTAGGTCAGCTGGTGTGTGTGTAAGTGACAGAAGTAGTTGAAGTAGTCGTACACGTTGTTGAAGTACCAGGTAGGTCATTTGGTGTGTGTGTAAGTGACAAAAGTAGTTGAAGTAGTCGTACACGTTGTTGAAGTACCAGGTAGGTCATTTGGTGTGTGTGTAAGTGACAAAAGTAGTTGAAGTAGTCGTACACGTGGTTGAAGTACCAGGTAGGTCAGCTGTTGTGTGTGACAGTAGTAGTTGAAGTAGTCGTACACGTGGCTGAAGTACCAGGTAGGTCAGCTGGTGTGTGTGTAAGTGACAGAAGTAGTTGAAGTAGTCGTACACGTTGTTGAAGTACCAGGTAGGTCATTTGGTGTGTGTGTAAGTGACAAAAGTAGTTGAAGTAGTCGTACACGTTGTTTAAGTACCAGGTAGGTCAGCTGTTGTGTGTGACAGTAGTAGTTGAAGTAGTCGTACACGTGGCTGAAGTACCAGGTAGGTCAGCTGGTGTGTGTGTAAGTGACAGAAGTAGTTGAAGTAGTCGTACACGTTGTTGAAGTACCAGGTAGGTCATTTGGTGTGTGTGTAAGTGACAAAAGTAGTTGAAGTAGTCGTACACGTTGTTTAAGTACCAGGTAGGTCAGCTGGTGTGTGTGACAGTAGTAGTTGAAGTAGTCGTACACGTGGCTGAAGTACCAGGTAGGTCAGCTGGTGTGTGTGTAAGTGACAGAAGTAGTTGAAGTAGTCGTACACGTTGTTGAAGTACCAGGTAGGTTATTTGGTGTGTGTGTAAGTGACAAAAGTAGTTGAAGTAGTCGTACACGTTGTTTAAGTACCAGGTAGGTCAGCTGTTGTGTGTGACAGTAGTAGTTGAAGTAGTCGTACACGTGGTTGAAGTACCAGGTAACTTGGTTGATTGCGTGTCTTCGTAACTCTCATCATATTGATAGGTATTAGATGTTTTGGTCCAGAGTCCACACGCACGCACGCACGCACGCACGCACGCACGCACGCACTCGCCGCGTTTGACATCCATGCCACTCAATTCAATACGGACTTCAGAATGTCACTGAAGGGACGTAAAATGCCGTTTTGTAAGCAATTCCCAGAACACGCTTGGCTTTGTTTAATAACGTCTCGGTATTTTCACACCACATGCACCTGATTAGATATGTACAATTTCGATCAAAACATATATATAAAATGGTTCAGACATGGTGAAGATTAAAACACTGATTTGTTGTACCGAAAATAATATATTATTTGCTCTATACAATAACAACCGATCTACTCATCACCACACACCAATACTCTATACAGTAACAACCAGCCAACACACTACCACACAACGCTGCACAATTATAAGTCTGTCCGTGACAGTAGAGGTACTGAATGCTGGGTGTATAGATGAACTGAGATAACTGTCACTGAACCTAGGTGATGATCAGAGGTATAATTTACAGCTGACTTGCTATTCTCGAAAAAACATCTACACTATCGACCCCTGTAACCAATTTTTGCTAAAGTTGACTCTTGTTTATCAACATCCTCGCGTCGTCCTGCATTTATTCGCTTAAAGGGGAAGTGTACACGCAAAAATTACTTTCTTTCTTTTTCTAAACAAAACGCAATTTTAGAATTAGTTAGTATCTGTGTTTGAAAATATACACTCATTTTTTTCACAGTGAAAGTAGGAAGCTCACAATAGTGTGAAAATGATATGCCGTTATGAGGCCTTCGTTTTTCGAGCTAAACAGGCCTGAGTTATCTCCCTTAGATTATGACGTAATTGGTGCCAATTCAACTGGGTCCCTGTCTATTCTGAACGCAAAAGATATCAAGTACAAGTTTTCGGTAAAACAACATGGCCTACGACACACTCCGGCGCAGTGGTGACTCAGCATAACACTATGCTGGCTGGCATCTGAGACGCTAGAATCACACACCTAGACCTACACCACGTGAAGCGGCTCTAACAAAGCATGATGACGTCATAATGTTTAT